TCCTCTATCTTATTCAATTATTAGACAAATATTTTAAATTAAGGCCTACAATTTAGACTTAGTTTTGATTATTGTGACATTTTTACCTTGCATGATATCTTCCCTTTAAATTAGCTTTAGGATTTTGTAACTTTTTTTATCGAAATAATTTTAAAATTTTTAAATATAAAATATATCTTCTGATACAAAATCAAGATAAATTAAATGTTTTTAACATCTATCATTTGTTGGATTTTTTTTCAATACGAAAAAAACGTCATATTCTTTGGTAATGTTTTTGACTTCCATCATCTTATTAATTTTTATGTACATACATAAAGAACTATATATTCTTTGACAATGTTATTTCGATGCGATTTACCGCTGAATCGGTCAAAAAGTTTTGCGGTTAAACGGTTAGCGAATCTGCATTTGATTGACATCCCTAAAAAAGGAAATATTTATACATTTAAATTGCATATTTTTTATAGTGCACTTCATGAAATATACCTATCTGGCAAGTATGCGTGATTCATACACCAATATCTAATACAAAACTTTTCTTAATTCAACTGAAAATTGACGTCTTCTGGAAGTTCTGCAACATTTTGAGAAAATAAAATGCACCAGAAGCATTTAACTCTTTACTACTTACTGAACTGTTATGCAGCATAAACTTAATGTTCAAGTCATCGAAATATAACGTTACCATTTCCCCGCAAGCACTTAACTGCGCGATATAAGATAGGAAATGGTATATGCGTTAAAATGCGTGATTGCAGAGAAGGGGGTTGAGTATATTAGTATATTAGTACTTCGAAAACAATGGAATGTGAGAAAAAGCTTTACACCTATGACTCAATATTTACGTATAACGTGAGGAAATTATATATCTCGATCGGCAGCTTGTGACAGACGGAGGTTGTTGACAATAACCTACTTTCACTGAACTCACAAAATATTGTTTTTCAGAAAAAAATGTTGTAGACAAACTTGATTGCCTTTTGATATCTGTCGTCATTATATTGTCACAGGTGGTCATGCTAAAGCAATGTTTGGATCTTCCTCGGTAAACATATTACTAAGGACGCAAAAGTTTGCATTTACAGTATTTTCCTTAAATATGTCCGACGATAATATTCATGCATACTTATAGGGAGACATTTATAGAATTATAATTTATGGTTACATATAATAGATATTATACGCAGTGAATGCTCTAAATTTACCGCGATTACAAGTTAAATTATCTCCAATGTGTTTTTAGTGCTTAAACATACCCTACAATTCACTTGCAATCTCTTTGTGGCTCCTAATTTTATACTGTTAAAAAAAGGTAGGAATATCCTATAAATACCAGAATCAAATAAAATTTACACTATTGAAGAGTTCTTTTTCTTTTTTTTTCTAATTCATTTTTGTTACTCATTTGTCTTGTAAATGTGGTAAAAAAAATTCAATCTCTTTTAATTTCCTAATGCCTGATTAATACCCATCATTAATGTCAAATTGACAGTTTCATAGACTTATTACTATAAAAAAAAATTATCCCCCTCACAAGCATGTGCCAAAAAAATATTGTGCTATAAAACACCAGAAGTTTCAAAGTACAGCATATGTAACTGGGAATTTGGCACATGGCTGTAGAGGATAGAAATTTCTGTAAAATGTCCAAGGAAAATTGACTTTTAAAGCATTTTCAGCAAACAGGACGTTTCCATGGCAATATTGTAACGTCATAAAACGTCCAACTTCTATCGACTAGCATATTTTCTTGAAGTACTAGCATGGATGATTTTTGAGGGGTATTTCATATAATGTAGTAAAACATTTTGATTTTTCTAAGAATCATTGTTTCTTCCCCTTTTCTGTCTTTTAGCTTTTCGGATTTTATGGCTTTTACCTGTAACAATAAACCTCAACAGTAATACAATCGGAAAACCTCTTATAATTACATTGAAATAAATGCATTGTGTATTTCTAGAACAGTAAATAAGTAATTAAATGCCATAGAGATAAATTCTGCAACTGTCTTTGAAAGTAAAAAAAGTAAAACAATGCTATTTTTGTGTAAACATACTGATAATGTGTCATATAGAGAGGGAGGGTGTTTGTTCTATGCCAGTCTTTTCCTCTTTTTGTAGTTTATAGCCATAGTCGGTGTATAATTTGGTTTATAAAGAGTGAGTACGATTTTTTGGGCTAAAATCTATTTTAGATATCAAACTTAATTAAGTGATATTTTACTGAAATCAAAACAGCAAATTATGTGAAACAAATTAAGACTGCAATCGTGCACCATTTTTTGTATAAGGTGTTGGTTTCTTGACGTAAAACTTGACGACATAAATCATGTAGAGTTATCCTTCTTTTCGCAGAAAATCTTTTCAAACTTTTTTGACACAAAAAGACATAAATTAACCAATGAAAGTACACAGCGGCTAAAGGAAATAACTTTTATATTTTAATTGAGTCGATAAAGGTTATGAATGAAGTAGAATTTTAGGACTCAAATTTACAAAAAAAAAAAATCTAAGCTTGAAGCATTATGAAATTAGGAAACCGTAAACTTATACACTTAAACTTATTTCTTAATTTTTTTTTTAATTTAAGTATTAATGAAAAAGGGGTGATCCTTATGCTATGTGTATAAGAAAATATATGTAAATGAGAGAGTTTAGTGTTTATAATAAGTATAAGAAGAATTTTTTTTTATTTTTTGCATTCAACATTTTCCACCATAAAATATTGAAATAACTTGCCAGGTCGATAAATATTGATACACCTGTATATATTTTTGGGGAATGTGTGTTTCCTAAGTGTTTATTGTTTTAAGACATGTTCTTTTAATTCCTTTCACTTTATTTGCCATTTTCATAAGCTGTGTTTTCCAACAATGATTGTAAAGTTTTATGTAGCAATTCAATTATTTAAATACATCCCTGCACCAGTCTTAATTGATCATGTACGTATGATGAAGCAAAAATTTTCTTTAAGAAAGTATCTTCATAAAAGGATAAAGGATTGAGAGAAGCATTTAATAAAAACATCCAAACAATCAAAAAATAAAACTAACATAAGATAGAAAATAAAAGATGTTATATATTGTCTTCCTAATTGGAATTTTTAACGGTTTTATTTTAACATGTTTTTAAATGCAAAGAGACATTAAACATATCTTGAAGAAAAAATACTGTCCATAGTTAAGAAACACGCGTGTTATTATCATTGAATTTTTAGAGCGACGACTTATAAATTTCTAATAATATTTTTTTTTAAAAGCAGGAACTTGGAATCCAGGTGTTATGGTAAGGAAACCCAATGCGGAAGAAATCAGACGAGGAAAGCAGCAATAAACAAAACAGGAACGGAGTTCTCTTTGTAATTACGATAAAAAAATTACGAATATTAATTTGGCTTCTTTGCAGAACAGCAAATTTGCATGGGTCATTGAAGATTACTTTGTTATTAATAGATTACTGGAAAAATTTGATTTTGACACAAAAAGTATTATCATTAAAATGAATTTTGGTTTATGGAAAATGAGAAATAAATACCAAAAAAGGAAAATTCGCTACAAATTCCTTGAATTAAAAGTTAGTCTGGTGCATGTTTTTCTAATGGTCATGGGAATTATTTAGGTACATGTATACACAATATACAAAATATCACTCTGAGTTGGTGAACAGTAGAACATTTACTGGAGCATCATAATAAGTCTGAGAATTATTTAGAAAATAAACATAAAAAGAATCAGACATTTATGATAGACAATTACTTTTTATTTATGCAGAATAGATTTATTTGTAAGATAAATCAATAGAAAGTTACCTTGGGAAGGAATGCTTCATAAGTTATGTATAATTCCTCTGATATTTGAGTCACGGGCAATTGAGAGTAAATATTCTATAGAATTTGTTGAAGTTATAATGTTTAGTATAGCGTGAAAAACCAATTTAAATTAAAAGTAGCATTAACATTATAAGGATGAACACATTAAATTGCACTGAATAAATTTACTAAATTTTTAAGTTTGTCCAATCAAATACTTATTAAAGGGGCATTTGAATCACAATATTAGAAGACAAAAATATTACTGATATTCATACATGCTGAAATCAATCTTGTCGATATGGGGATGAACAGTATTGCCTGTTAAAGGACCTAATTTTCGGAATATTATGCTTTAGTTAATAGGTCAACCAGGAGCATCTTATTTATATTAATGAAGGTTTATTTTGTTTCATGGGAGCATCGTATTAATATTAATGGAGGTTTATTTTGTTTGTCAATTTGGATTAGTATGAAAGCTAGAAAAATGTCATTTACTGATTTTTAATTTTTTTTTTAATTATCATCTTCGTTATGCTTAATTACGATTACTCATTTGATAAAGTAGAAATGAATCGTTGAAAAAATGACGGAGGGATAAAAAAAAGGCTAGTTTACTTGTTTTTCTCATATGTTATACTCTTAGTTTAGGCTGTGAAAAATACTAATAATTTGATGCAAAGCAGATTTCATTTTTCATGCAATTTTTTCTCTTTTTTCTTGATAATGAGATCTGTATTGGTACATATTGCAGGAATTAAATATAGGCCACTTTTTAGATGTTATCTGCATTATTAGAGTGTGTGATGCCAGGAATATTGTTCCCTTTTAGTTTTTTTTTCACAGATATCCAATACATAAAAATAATCTTATTGCTCGCAAAAATTATTCTCAAGAGTTTAGTCAATAATGCTTGAAGGACTCATTGTAATGGTTGAATAGATCTACACCATTTGTTGGTTTATTATAAATTATGCAGAGGCAGTAACAAAGTAGAAACGAATGAAACTTGGCCATCTGTTTCTGATATTTACAGGTTTAATTAAGGACATGACCAAAAACCACTCAAAAGCTCAGGATCGAACGTCCTTAAATGTACATCGGTATTGACAATTAGAATTTTATAGAAATTATTTAAGATATTTGAATCCATTATCTCTGTGATATATTTTTCTTTGATAATTTTACAGGTGACTCTATGTTAGACACTGGTGATTCTAACACAGGTCTGTCTGGAATGTCATTCTCCACCCCGGACAGAGATAATGACAAAGCTAGTTATAACTGTGCTACTCTCAGTGCCATTAGAGGGGGCTGGTGGTATAACGACTGTCACCGAGCCTTCCTTAACGGTCCCTGGTCCCCGGGGTCCTGGCCCTACCCATGGTATCCTGCTGTTACAGATGGATCGTTTATAAGAGGGACTACGATGATGATCAGACGGCACTAGGTAAATATCTGTCATTCTAATTGACATCACTAAATTAGAATATCAAATATTTACTTTCCAGTACCAAAATAATTATTTTGAAAAGTTCATAAGAGAAATTCGATGAGATAGTAAATGTTTATTTTCTGATAGAATATTTTATTTATTTTTTGTAGAGATGGATATTGTTAAAAAAAGAACAACATATTGACGAACACCTAGCAGTCTGGTGAGTCATTCTGATATAAAAGACAATTCTGTCAACCATGGGGTTATGTTTTATTATAAGGTTTTTATACCAACTAAGAACTTGTAAACTATTATATTCTTGAAAAGGTCTTGTGAATGAACTGTTTTCTGAAGCAATATTTTTTTGAATAATTTTTATACTGAATTTTGTTGATTAAACCTTTATATTGTAAAGTGTTGTAATAAAATTTACTTTTGATATATCAAATGTTTGTTTATTTACGAATACTAGCACAAAAGGTTCTTGGAAGGACAGTTGGGATAATGTTAAGTGTATTATAAAACTTATAGCAATGCAATATGTCTTATCCGCAATCGACATTGAATTTCTTTTTCTGCGACGGATCCAGGAAATCCTAAGGGAGTGGCAATAGAAGGTAGGGGTCTTGGAGCCGCATTGAAGACTCCAGTTTGTTAAGATGGGAGTCAAGGAGCTAAACCACCTTGAACACGTAGGATATTCAAACAACTAAGCGATGGAAGGATATGGAGGTAATGAACAGTATTCAATCTCAAGTACATTAAACAATGCAAAATAACAGCAGAGCAAACACGGACCTCTGAAACATCAGTTGTAGGATCAGGTGCCATGGAGGAGTGAGTATCTACTGCTGACCGATAAAACCCGCCGTGTGCTCCTTGTCATGATCAGGAAATAACGGAAAAATCCGTCGTCAATTCAGTGTATAAATAATGGACTAACAATTAGTATGGAAAACGTCAGTCAGCATTTTACTCAGTGATAAATTGTATTTGCTGACAAGGTCATTGTTTCGACCATAGAACTTACGAAATGATGACTTTAAACGGGACTGCTATTATTGTTTCATCAACTTGCTTGTCAATAATTTACCTAGTTTTAGCAATGCTTATACGTAGAGCAAGCTCTGCGTATCGAATCAACTGAGATATATACACTCCCTATGCAGGTGATGAAGGTATATTGCTGCATAAGTAAGGGAAGTTGACGATAGAAAAGTTAAAGTTATCACGTTTATCATATAACTTGGTTGTTCGGATACTATTAACGTCTTTCTGAAGTAAAATATCCAAGTATGAAACAGATATGTTAGATTCTTTGGTATCTTTTATCTCAAGCTCTCCTGGATATATCGTATCAACATAGGAATGGAAATTACCTTTGTTTAAGAACAACACGTCGTTGATGTATCTGAAAGTCAAGTTGAAGGCCACAGCTAGTGTTTTTTTTTTCCTTTTAATGATTTGTCGTGAAATAGGTTTCCTTCTGTAAAGAAAATTATACTTTGCTTCGATAAAAATGTTTTCACAGGTTTAGCGTAGTAATAATGAGTTCTTTAAAAATTAACAATTCTGTGCAATATTTGAACCAATCAATATCATTTATACGTTTCACTCCGTTAGCCAGTTAATTACGAGGAATATTAATGTAGGATTCTTCTCACATTTCTTGTGTTTCAAAATTAATGAATTTTTCACATAATCTAAATGATGGTTTCAATGAGATTAAATTTGACCATTTAATATTAAAGGCAAGGTCAGGTCAAGGTCAATACCTTTTCCCTGTGCAATAAGAATAAAAGATACTATTCTTAATCATGCGATCCCTACTTATATTTCAAAAAAACTGTGTAAAACTTATAACTGAATTCATTGTTCTATAACAGTTTTGAGAGCCAGAAAATAAGATAAATTCATACGCAACCAATCCGCAAAAAATTACTCTTTGCCAGCTTCCAAACGCAGTTTACAATTTACATTTAAAGTTGTTCAATCATGACAAGGAAAGAAAGGTATGGACGTTTCAAATGTACTACACCTAAATATATGACATATAAGCAAATGTACTTTGAATATGTCATGTTGTCGGAAACCAGAGAAGAATCCTACCATATACACTAGACCTACACTTGTAAATTTTCATATATATGATATCATTTGTTTCAAAAAAAAAAAACATACAAATTTTGAAAACCAATTTCAGCTGTGTACTACCAATTTTGCACATGCCCTACAAGTAGTCCTCACTTAGTAATCATCTGATACCTTAGTGTCCATACCAAATCCACTCCACTTCCGTTCTACCCAGTTTTATGGAACATTTTTAAATTTCTTTTATGCTGCAAACTTAATGCCGTGATTATTTATAGTAAATATTTTTATGTTTGTTAATCTATTCGGAACAAGTTTTAAGAGTGGAATTCATAACCTTTCTATTGTTTTTATTTTTTACAATTTTTTCTAAAGAAACCCCCCTGCAGACGCCATCCTGTCTGCGTTTGCACGGTCTTCCAGCGTTAAAAGCCGCATATGGTGTACTTTTTCCCTGTTTTTTAAATTAGTACAAATGTAAAGAGAAAAATTTGAATCCAATAAACCATATATATGAATCATTTGTTTAAAAAAAAAACATACATATTTTGCATCAACTACTCATGAAAAGAGCAGTTTTTCATAAGTAAATATTGTTTACTAAATATCTAGGATAATGAAGTTAAAAATTTACATCTAATCTTCCGACTGCAAATTTAAATGGGCTTCACATACATATTTCAAAAGCACAACATATCTAAATGCGTTCAGGGAAATAGGATAATGAGAAAAATTCTTAAAATCAGAAAACAAAGATTTGATTTTTAATTTACTTCATAACGTTATAAAATAATTGTTTTCCATCCAAAAGTATGGTTGAGGGGCCACATTCTGTTACTTATCTTGCATCTTTTTATTCTAAGTTTCTAAAATATAAAGAATTACAGAGTATTTCCTTCTTCCGAAACGGTTAGTTAATAAGTTCTGGATAAAATAGCTATGGTTTGCAGGGATATAAATCTGACGTCACGACAATTAGGAACATATAAAATTTTTTCCATGGTTTCTGCTGTTTGTAGAACAAATGCCAACCGTTGAAATTTTATATAATGTAAGTCCAAAACTTCATTAATCTGGTAAAACATGCTAAGAAAGACAAACTAAAAACATCAGAGTGACTTATACTAAAAGTGTCAACATTTACAGAACCCCGGTCTTTCAGCATAATTATGTGATTATTTTTTTTTAAGAAAATATCTACGACATAGGCGAAACATGAAAAAGAAAACTTTGGGTTGCAAGGTAAATTATTGACAAGCAAGCTGATGAAAAAAAAAAATCAGCCGTCTCGTTCAAAGTCATCATTTCGTACGTTCTATGGTCGATACAATGACTTTCTCAGCAAATACAATTAATCATTGAGTCAAATGCTGACTGACGTTTTCTATACCAATTGTTTGTCCATTATTTATACACTGAATTGACGACAGACTTTCTGTTATTTCACGATCATGACAATGAGCACACGGCGGGTGTGACCATTCAGCAGGGGATGCTGACTCCTCCAAGGCACCGGATCCCACGTCTGATGTTTCGGAGGTCCGTGTTTGCTCTGCTCTTATTTTGTATTGTTTTATGGACTTTATGGTTATCTTCATATCCTTCTTTATATGGAGATGCTACCACACATGCTGATGGAGGACTGCAAACTTATTCCTATACTCGGTACTCGGCGCCATCAATACTTCTCAACTTTGCATATTCAATTATGACCTCACATATTTATAGTTCATAGGGTACGATGTGATATTCTCTGGGAAGGCTTAACGCACCTTCACTTACATTAAATCAGCTGAAAGAAACAATAGCAAGGCCAAAATTGGTCTTGATTGACTGTCCACGTGGCTTACCATCCGGAAATATGTTCCTCTTTAATATTTCTACCAATAATCAGCAGAGTAAGGAAATTTATTGAATTAAAATTTTAAAAGACGTATATCCATGTAATAGATTAAAATATGAAATATTTAGAAGACCTTACTAACTTAAGTTAATAATTGAGGAACAACAGGACGTAATCTACATTGCAGGTCATTATTATGCATTCTCTCCTTCTTTTATATATACAAAATGTGATGCCTGTATTTGATTCCAGTATATTGTTTCCTTTTAGTAAATCCTCTAAATTGTATTTTTTTCCTGCTTTAATTGCTGTGAAATCTTGACATTTATTCAAGTTGGGGGTTTAATTTTCGTTGTTTTCGAGGTACGACGAGACCCACGATTTCATGCCCACCAGGAAATGTAAAATGTTACATACATAAGTACTCCTTAATTCTTGATCCACGAAATCAAATCCCCACGAACCACGAGATTTTCCTTAAAACAAGAAAATTTGACACAACGAAAATATGTTATTTTACAGTATTCCTGTAGACTGTAGGGGACTTCAATCAGCTGGTTACACAAATTTAGGGTGTATAAATTTTATCCCTATGGCTCTATTACGAGTCCTGTCACTGTGTACTGCGACACCACGACAATGGGCGGGGGATAGACAATATGTAGTTTATTTCAAAACTAAAAGTACAAGAAATAATCCATATTCAATGTTTTTGTTGTTTTCAGGATAATAAGATTTTAAAAATGTGACTATTTAGAGTTTATATCATAATATAAGAACCCTGCAATTGTCTAAAATAATATTATATTGTTTATTTTTGAAAGGCCATTCAAAACGCGTAAACGGATCCTTGATCTTTGACAGAACTTGGACGGATTATAAAAATGATTTTGGTTTTCCGGGAAGTAATGTCTGGGTTAGTAAGTTGATAAGGGTTATAATCTGCTTCAAAGTTTGACAAGATATTGTGGCGAATAAAACAAATTGTAGCGTGTCACACATAGATTTGATTTGAAAACTTAGTAATATGTGTTCTACGATAATGATCGTGTTCGATGTTTAAGGAATGAAGCTTATT